TATGCGAGTCGTCATAACCCTTCCACTTGACGAGGTACTGCAGCTGACGCCGGAAGATCCTCGAATCTTTGATCCGCTCAACCTCGTACTCCTCGTCGCCTTCAACCTCGATCGCAGGCGGCTCCTCCGGCTCCCGGCCCGGGATATCGCTACGCGTGTACTTGCTAAGCAAGGAGACATGGAATACCGGGTGCACCGGCACCGACTTTGGCAGGATTAATTCATAATCCAAATCTCCGAGCTTTCGCCGCACGGCATAAGGTCCGAGGCGCTTGGGACTGAGCTTCTTGCTCGGCTGTTTCAGCTTAAGGTTCCGAGCGTCAAGCCAGACCTTGTCCCCCGGCGCGAAGACCGGTGCTTCCTGCACGTGCTTGTCGTAGTACACCTTCATGCGCTCGGCCGACAGCTCGAGCGCTGAGCGTGTATCGTCGCGAATCTCCTTCAGGATCTTGAGCCGATCAGCGGCCGCAGGCATCGCAGACATCGGATTGATCCGCACTTGGATCTCAGGATGGTACCCTTGATGCAGGAAGAAAGGGGAGTGCCCGGTCGCGGAGTGAACTCGGTTGTTCAATGCGAACTCCGCGAGCGGCAACTGCTTCGCCCAATCATCCTGCCTGTGGCTTGTGAAAGCGCGCAGGTACTGCTCGATCTCCTGATTCCAGCGCTCAGTCTGGCCGTCTGTCTGAGGGTGGAACGCTGTGGACAGCGCCGGCTCGATTCCCAGACCCTTGTACACCGCATGGAGATATTTCGAAGCGAACTGGGGACCTCGGTCTGATATGACCTTGGCCGGGGCCCCATGATGCTTGAACACATCGCGGATGTACAAGTCTGCCGCACCTTCTGCCGTCAGGGTCTCATGACAGGCTGAGAAGTGGACCTGCTTTGTGAAGCGGTCGGCGGTGACCAGGATTGAGTCGAATCCATCAGACTTTGGCAAGCCGACGATCATATCAGTCGTGATGATCTGCCACGGGCGCTCGGGGATCTCGTTCGGCTTCAGCGGACCCTGGGGCTTGGCTGGAAATGTCTTGGTACGGTTGCACACGTCGCAGGTGCTTACGTACTCATTGACAAACTTGGACATTCCAGGCCACCAGTAGTTCCGCGACACGAGCTCCAGGGTTTTGGCACGACCGCCATGACCGGCGATCGGTGAGTCGTGGTGGATTTTGACAATATCCCGCCGGAGCTCCGCGTTCTTTGGGACGTACACACACCCGCGGAACAGCAAAAGCCCTTGTTCGGCATTCCACTCCTCAAAACCCCTTTGCAGCCGGGGTGGCCCGAGGTCCTGCACCTTTTCAAGTGCCTCGGCCACCTCCCGATCCTTCTCCGAACATTCCCTGATGCGCTTCAGAAGCGATTGATCGGCCGTCACCGAGGCATGACCGCGCCTAGCGGAGGCGATGCGGAAGCGTTCTGGCTTGAGAACCACCTGATCGGTGTTATCGTCCTCATCGCCGATCTGATGGTCTGATCGTCGCGACAGGGCATCAGCCTTTCCGTTGGACGTCCCGGCCTTGTGCGTGATGCGGAAGTCGAAGCGAGCTAGGAACAGCGACCATCGCGCTTGACGGCGCGTGAGATGCTGGGAAGTACGCCAGTACTCGAGGTTCTTATGATCGGTCACGATCTCGAACTGATTGGGTAACCCCTCGAGATAGTGGCGCCAGTCGTCTAGCGCCTCAATGATCGCGAGCATCTCCTTATCGTAGATCTCGTAGTTCCGCTGTGCTGGATCCATCGCATGGGATCTGAAGGCGATGGGATGCCACTTGCCGTCATCCTGCTTCTGCATCAACACGCCGCCAGTGGCGTACCCCGAGGCATCAACCTCAATACGCGTCTCCCGATTAGGGTCGTACAGCGCCAAGACTGGAGTCGTCGCGAAGAGCCGTTTGAGCTCATCGAAGGCGTGCTGCTCTTCCTCGCCCCAATGCCATGGGTCGTTCCCTGTGAGCCGGTCGAGTGGTCGCGAGATCTTAGCGAAGTCCTTAATGAAGCGGCGGTAGAAGTTGGAGAACCCCCGGAACTTCTGAACGTCCTTCTTGTTCCGGGGTACTGGCCACTCATTGATTCCTTTCAGCTTCGCGGGATCCATCGCCACCTCATCGCCACCAAACACATAGCCGACGTAGTCGACCTTGGGAACGTCCCATTCGCACTTCTCAGGCTTCAGGAACAGATCATTGTCCTGAAGGCGGCGTAGAACCTCGCGTGTGACCTTCTCATGCTCCTCTTTGTTGGTGGAGAAGATGAGTATATCGTCCAGGTACACAAGGATCTTGCCACCGACGATGAGATCGTGGAAGATCTCGTTCATCATCGCCTGGAAAGTCGCGGGGGAGTTGGTGAGACCGAAGAACATCACCAATGGCTCGTATAACCCTCGGTTAGTCACAAAGGCCGCCTTCCATTCATCACCGGCCTTGATCCGGACATTATTGTATCCCCATCGGACATCGAACTTTGTGAAGAGTGTGGCGCCGCGGAGCTTATCCACCATCTCGGCGATCAACGGCAAGGGATAACGATTTTTGACCGTGATCGCGTTCAACCGGCGGTAGTCCTGCACGGG